CCCTGCCCATGCCTGCAGCACCAAAGAAGTGCAGCCCGGCCGAGTTCCCCTGCCAGAGCGGGCAGTGTGTGGCGCTGGCCCTGCGCTGTGACGGTGATCGCGACTGCCGGGATGGCTCGGATGAGGAGGGCTGTGCCGTACCCCGGCCGCTGCTCTGCCGCACGGGTGAGGTGGCGTGTCCCCACAGCGGGGAGTGTGTGCCGGAGGCCTGGCGCTGCGACGGTGCCACTGACTGCAGGGATGGCACGGATGAACAGGTGGGTGGGGTGGTGGGGACACAGCCTGTCCCCGCTGCCTGGCTCCTGGGAGGGCTGGTGGCACTCCTCACCCTCTGCTCTTGCAGGGCTGTCCGAGGGAGGAAGGGCTGTGCAGGGACCAGGAGTGGGGCTGTTCCCATGGCCACGAGTGCATCCCTGATGTCTGGCACTGCGATGGAGAGAGCGACTGCACGGATGGCAGTGACGAGGCTGGCTGTGAGCAGCACCCTGCTCTTATCCCCTCTGTGTCTCACCTGGGGTGGTTGGTGGGTCCCCAGCACAGAGGCAAGTGGGGATGTGTCTGTCCTAAGGTGAAAGGCTCCCGTGTGCTGTTTGCCTCTTCCAAGCATCTGTGGTGGCTCCAGACACTGGGTAGCTGTTGTCCCTGTCAGGCTGGTGGCCTTGGGATTAGGATAGCCTGAGGCCAGGCTACAGGCACAATGATGGATGTGGCTGCAGCGAACCCTGGGCAAGCAGCAGAATCTGCCCCAGCTGAGCAAAAGGAGCTGGAGCTGGTGGCCGATGCTCAGGACAGCCCTCCCTGTGTGTCTCTGCAGGCCAGCCTGCTCCCTGCCAGAGTCATGAGTACCCGTGCAGGCTGGGACCCTGCCTGAATGTGTCCCTGGTGTGTGATGGCCAGCGGGACTGTGCGGACGGCTCGGATGAGGCGGGGAACTGCTCCGTGCCCTGCCAGCGGTCCTGCTCCCACCTCTGCTACCCCTCGCCCCAGGGCCCTGTGAGTGCCAGCCCCCCTGCTCCAGCTGGAGGAGGGAGCCTGGTGTGTCCCCAGGGGGGGAACCTGACAGCCCCTTTCCCCACAGAGGTGCTGGTGTGACCCAGGCTATCGGCTGGGGGGGGGAAAAAAAAGTAGGTACAAAGACGAGGACAAGGATGGGGGCGCGGGAGCCTGCAGCCAGACGTGCCTCAACGCCCCAGGGTCCTACAGCTGTGGATGTCTCCCGGGCTACCTACTCGAGCCTGATGGCCACGTCTGCAAACTCACTGGTAAGCCCTGGGACAGCCAAGCCGCTCTGAGGGTCCCCAGAGGGTACACCAGGAGCCAGTGGGTATGTGTCCCCCAATGCCTGCTGCCCATGGGGAGCCTTGTAGTCCTGTGAATGTGTTGCCCCAGGACCAGAGCCCATGCTGCTGGTGGGTGTGCAGTCAGAGGTGTTGTCCTACGGCCTGCGGAGTGGGCATGAGGAGGTGCTGCTGGCCACTGGCAAGGATCGCGTTATCTTCTCACTCGACTATGACCTGGTGGAGAGGAAAGTCTTCTGGATGGACCTGGCCACTGAGAGCATCCGCTGGCAGGACTTCGACTTTGGCAAGAAAGGCACACTGGTGAAAGGTGGGCTGTGATGGCAGGGGGCTGGCCTCTCCGTGGCTGTGCAATCTCCAGACTGCAGTGGGGTGCCAGGCTGTGTCCCCTTGTGTGGAGCAAGGTTGGGAGGAGCTGGAGCTCCTGGGTTGGAGGGGACCTGGGCTGGGAGCATTGTACCAGAGGGCCATGCAGCTGTCACCCCATGGGTGGTGACTCTTGGGTGCATTGCAGGTGTGAAATCAGACTGTATAGCAGTGGACTGGCTTGGGGGGAACCTGTACTGGACAGACGGGGCAGCAGGGCAGGTGCTGGCCACTCGCCTGGGGGCTGCCTGGCGTGGAACACCAGAGTACACGGTGGTGGTGGATGGAGACCTGGACCAGCCACACTCCCTGGTGCTCCAGCCTCTGGCAGGGGAAGGCTGGGATGAGAGGACACGGGGACGTCTTTGCCATCCCTGCCCTGCCCCATTTTCCTCCATGGAGGCAGATGACAGGCTGGGGAAGCGTTGGGATGGCCTCACCTGGGTGTGACCAGGGACAAAGGAGCCCAAGCACCTACCCCTGCCCTGAGTGGAGCTCTCAGTGCATCCCTGATGGGATGGGAAACTCCACGCTGCTCCTCTGGGCTGTCCTGGTACTGGGACGACGCTATGGCAGGGGCGCGGGGGAAGAGGGTTGTTCCCACTGTACTGGTCAGAGGTGGGCAGCCACCCACGGCTGATGGAGGCCACCATGGATGGGAGTCGGTGGCATGTGCTGCTGGCCCAGGGGCTGGGCTGGCCCACAGCACTGGCCCTCGACCGCCCCACCTGGAGGATCTTCTGGCTGGATGAGAAGCTGGGCAGCATTGGTTCTGCACGTCTGGATGGCACCAGTGTGAAGGTGCATGGTGGGACTCTGGTGATGGGACCCTGATGGGGACCAGGTGGGTGCTCATGGCATCTCTGGCAGATCCTGCAGCTGAGCTGGGTCCAGAGCCCCTTTGCAGCAGCTGTGTGCGAGGGGCAGCTCTACTGGTCGGAGAGGAAGGCATGGTCTGTGCAGCAGGTGGACCAGGCCAGCGGCAAGAACAGGACCGTACTGCTCAAGCGACATGGGGAGCCCCACGGCCTCCAGGTACGTACCCGGGGGAGCCCGCAACCCTGCTGCACCAGCTCTGCTGGGGTTCCCACCCTGCACAGCCCTGCCATCCTCTGAGTGTGGAGCCACTGGGAGCCGTGCCCCCATCCCAGTGGTCCTTGGGCAGCAGTCTCTGTGGTCAAGGGTCTCCAGTCCTCTTGGAGCATCACTGCCTCAGCATCTTGCCCCCAGCTGGGCTGTGTCTGGGCCCTGGGAGCATGACGTGGGGCTGGTTGTGCTGGGTACTGGGGCTGTGGGGCTGAGATTGCCCTTCCCACAGGTGATGCACCCAGCCCTGCGCCCCACGGCCCCCAACCCATGCTTGGAGCGTGGCTGCTCCCACCTGTGCCTGCTGAGCGCCCGGCACACTGGGCAGTGCCGGTGTCCCCCTGGGCTGACGCTGGCCGCTGATGAGACCACCTGCCTGCCCCTCCGCGATTCAGCTTTTGCCTTCCTGGTGTCACCAGCAGCTGTGGCGCAGGTACCGTCCTCCAGACCTGGCCCTGGGGGCTGCTGTCCTCACTGCTGTCAGGGAAGCGGGGTCCCCATCCTAGCGTTGCCTCCTTCCTCCAGGTCTACCTGAAGGACCTGCCCACAACAGCTGGATCCCAAGGGCTTCCCCCACACCATGCCCTGCCCTTGACCAAGGTGGGACACCTGACAGCCATTGACTACGCAGTGAAAGACAAGAGCCTGTACTTTGCGGAGGTGGGGGGCGACTCCATCGGGCTCCTGCGCCTCAAGGACTGGGGCAGGCTGTCCTGGAAGCAAGTGGTGGCTGTGGAGGGCATGGTGACATCCCTGGCCCTGGACTGGCTGAGCGGGAACCTCTACTGGATCGGGGGGCAGCCACCCAGCATCCACGTGGCAGCTCCTGGGGGGCGGTGGGCCCTGGTGCTGCTCAGCGAGGGGCTGCAGGGCGCTGCGGGGCTGGCGCTCTGCCCCCAAGCTTCCACCATGTGCTTTGTCACCACAACCAGTGGCCGTGGG